GTTGACCCATAAAATTAACCATCACACATATTAGAGAACATGATTTGAAAAGCAGAGTAGTAGTTACCAAAAACCCACTTAGGAAGGAATCAAAGGAAATGAACTAGTTAATATTTACAGCCAAGGAAAAATACAAAATGCTCAACTCATTATGTGGAAGAATGCACAGCCCCTATAACAATTCAAGAAATGCAATATAAATAACATGATGAGTGCATGCTCATTAAATTAATGAAAGTTAAACACACACACACCCCCAGTGCTAGTGGGTCTGCGTGGAACCCAGACCCCTATTGGTGCAGCTCTGGCAGGGGACCTACCTTTCTAGCATCGCCTTCAGCCAACAGGACTAGAGCAGTGAAGCGCCTCTCACATCTCAGGGAGCCTGCTGCCTTCTGGAATGAACTTGAAATGTTTTGAAGCCATCTCATTGCCTAAACCCTTACTTCACAGCTGAGGAAACAGACCCGGAGAGAAGCAACTTGCCATCTCCCACCAGTAAGCCAAATGGGTTCAAGGCAGTGTGCTGGCTTCCTGACTGCCTGCTGTCCTCCTATTGTACCAGGTCATGGCCTCAGATAGCTGTGCAAAAGAGCTCCATTTTTAAAATTAGAAATCACAACTTTGGTTGAACATTGGAATCACATGAGATTTGAAAACTATTGATGACTGGCTCCCACTCTTAGAGGTTCTGATTTAATTGGTCTGCTCTGTGGCCTGGGATTTTTAAGCTCCTCAGGTGATTCCAATGTGTGATCAGGGCTGAGCCTTAGATGGTTGTGTGCTACATGTCCGCTATTCTGGTAGCAAATAATTCTTTTCTCTTTTCCCGATTTGAAGACCACTCTCTTTGATGGAGAATAGCAAAGTAAAATTGGATTCTGTTAGCAGAATCTCAGCCTTATTGTAATTGTTTATTAACATTGCCTCATCTCTGCCAGGCGCGGTGGCTCACACTTGTAATCCCAGCATTTGGGAGGCTGAGGCGGGCAGATCACTTGAGCTCGGGGGTTCAAGACCAGCCTGGGCAACATGGCAAAACCCCGACTCCGCAAAAAATACAAAACTTAGCTTGGCGTGGTGGCAAATGCCTGTAATCCCAGTTACTCAGGAGGCTGAGGTGAGAGGATAGCTTGAGCTCAGGAGGTCAAGGCTGCAGTGAGCTGAGCTTGTGCCACTGCATGGTAGCCTGGGCAACAGAGTGAGACCCTGTCTTCAAAAAAAAAAAACCAAAATGAAATCTTGCTTCATCTTCTCCAAGTGGTATACTTCCTTCTACTGACTCTCCTAGCTCAGGATGCAACTGGAAAGAATTCTGCTTGTCTTTACCATGTCTCTTGAGTCTCATTTAGACTCTGGCCTCCCTTGACTCATTTTTATGGGTCCCTTCAATTCTGTGGAATACACCCTTGAGTTTGTGCTACTCCTTCCATATTTTGTACCTGTCTTTGTAAAGTCAATTCTGCACACTGCTAAGGGTTTACAGAGATGTGTAACATAGAGGCCAGGCATGGTGGCTCACAACTATAATCCCAGCACTGTGTGAGTTTGAGGCAGGAGGATCCCTTGAACCTAGGATGTGGAGACCAGCTTGGGCAACATAGTGAGACCCCTTCACTACAATTTTTTTTTTTTTTTTTAATTAGCTGGGCATGATGTCACACACCTGTGGTCCCAGCTACTTGGGCGGCTAAGGCAGGAGAATTGCTTTAACCTAGGAGGTTGAGGCTGCAGTGAGCTATAATTGCACCACTGTACTCCAGCCTTGGGCAGCAGAGAGAGATCTTGTTTCAAAAAAAAGAAAAAAGAAAAAAAGTAGAGTCTCTCATCTATTGATCCCACGGTGAAATGAATGGGATGGTCAGAAGGCCTATCACCACAACAGCACAGTGTGCACATTCTGATGAAAGCATGTAAAGGAGAGAAGCACTGAATTCAGTGCGAAGGAGAAAACTCAAGAATGCTTTCAGGAGGAGGTGGTATTTTATCTGGGAATGCATGGAGCTGTCTGGATAACAAAGGGTGTGAAGACTAATGGGAAGGGCATTCCAGAGAGTTGGGACATCGGGAGCAAAGCATAGAGATGTAATTGACAACAGCAAGAAGTTGGGGGCAGAGTGGGAGCTGAGAGTGGGAAAGTGAGTAGGAGCCTTATTATGGGCCTTGTATGCCCAACTTCCACGGATTTTACTTTGAGGATGAAGGGTTTTAAGAGGGGAAGTGACATAATTGTGATTTTCATTCCATGGTATTGGTGGGATGGTTGGATTAGAGAAGGATAAGACCAGAGGCAGGAAAGCCTGCTGCCTCCCATATGCTAAGTAATGACACCCAAGGCAGCAGGGTGGGGATGGAGAGGGCAAGACAGCCGGGGCAGGGTGGGGGACGTTGAGAAGGAAGTCAGCCAGGACTGGCCACCTGACTGCTGTGGGCAAGGCCCCAGTTGGTCTTTCATGGCCTTTATGCACATCAGAAAAATGGACCCCTATGAGCAGGTACATATCTAAGAAGTGGAGCTAGAACTGGATGTACCCTGTTGTTCTCAGTGGCTCTGGAGGAGGATTGAGAGATGGGCGGGGCTTGGGGGGGTGTGCGGGGTGGGGGTGTGCCAAGGACAACATCTGGGTGTTTTGCACTACATACAAGGACTTCTTTTCTTGGCTGTTACAAATGCTGAGAAAGGAAGATCATTTTCATTAGCCGTTTTCTGCTTCTTTGTAAAAATTAAGTTCTCTATCTTGTCAGATGAAATAGTCAGCAAGGTGAAGTGTAACTTATCAGATGCCCGGCCATTAGCTGAATGAGCCTTCCAGCAGAGCTCCCTCATCACAAACCCCCATCCCTGCTCCAGCTCACCCCTGAGAAAGTTCTGACGCCTCTTGGGAAAGCATCCACGCACAGACTAAGAACTAGAACAAGCAGACATCAGGAAGTCTCATAGGTTGGAATTTGTCATTTCATCCAAAATAAAAATGGGTGTTCAACAAATGTACACCGTATGTTCAGTTCAAAAAGCTGTCTCGAATGTCATCCTGTATCATCTTAACTTGGTACATGCCTATCCTTTCTTCATAACCTCCTGGGGCTCATTCAATAAATATTTATCGTGCACCAACTTTGTGCAAGGTCCATGTTAACTTGTGTATGAGGAGACGATAAGCTCAGACCTTCCACATCTAAGCCGATTTCCCGGCAGTGGGAGGCAAATCTTCCAACGTGATGCTATGACCAGTCTTGCTTCCAACCCTGGAGCCAGAACCCCTGGCTCTGACTTCTGGCTCCTTCACTTTTACGAGTTATTAAAAGTCTTTGTGTCTCAGTTTCCTGCATATAAAATGGGGATAATGACGAGGCCTACCTCCTAGGGTTGTTTTGAGGAATAACCTGAGTTAACACACGTAACAGGAGTTAGCATATAACTCGCACATAGGAAGTGCTCAAGCAGTGTCAGATTTTCCTATTACTTGTTTTGTGTAATACATCATTTCAATATCAATAATCATACCCTTAGATGGCGAAAAGATGCCAATCACGCAAAAAATATTCCATGATATATTATAATTTGAGTTTAAAAGAAAGTTTCAAACAGTGTAATTCTCCAAGAATTATAAGAAATACAGATGCAGAACGGCAGAGGTTACTTGTGAGTTTATATTCATCTTCTCCTTTATGATTAATCTATTTTCTAAATTTTTTTACATGGGCAGGTAAACAGGAAAAAAGTTATTTAATAATATTAAACAATAATGAAAAAGATCATAACTATATCCTATTCATCTGTCTTCTCTTGGCTAGAATCCAGGCTTCCTGAAGGCAAAGGCAGTGGCATCTCAGAATTTGACAAAACTCCTTTCGTCAGTGTCTGGTTCCATTTCAGTCCGGCCCAAAGCCAAAGTAAAAGCTGGGCCAAGCTTTTTTCCATTCCAACCTCCTCTTTCATTCCCTCCTGTCTCCCTTCTTAAGTGCCCATCTAAGGGGCTGATTCCTTCCTTCATTCAACTAATAGGTATTGAGGGTCCACCGGGGTCCAGCACCGTGCAAGGGACTGAATGTGAAGAGAACTCTGTCCCCGGTGTCCTTCGGCCTCATGCTGCCCATCAACTGTGATGGCCCATTGCCCGGAGTGCATGCCACTCCCCGGTCTTAACTCTGCCCACGCCTGCAGAGCGCACACCTGTCTCTGCTCCATTTTCTACAGATGACATAATCCCTGTGCATCTGTCCTGATGTGTCCCTGTGCATCAGTTGAGTCCTGGCAGAAAACAGCATTGCCTTCAAAAGGGCTTAACTCATGATAATTAAATAAAAGAACAATTCAAAGAGATGTGGGCAGAGTTCAGGGATCCAGTCAGGCGTGTTGATGCCCCCAAGGACTAGGAATAGCAGGAAGCCAGGACTACCCCTTGACTAGAAGGGGAAATATTATTATTGGAGTTTATTGAAGATACTGTGATTATCTGCAATCACAGAGTAACACAGGCATTGCTAGTCCCTGGCATCAAAGCCAGGAGAGAATGAGGAATAAATACCCTGACCTCTTTCTTCCTCCTCCTCCTCTCTCATCTTCTGTCAGTGCCCATTTGGCTGAAATCATGAGCCAAAGAACGAGGATGCTCAAGTGATGCAGTTCACTTAGCAAATGTGTTACTCTCCATAATGATGGTTTTATGGTGGATCAAAGTTAAAATGTATACATCCTTAAGAGCCTTCTAAGAGAATGGTGTCCATTTCAGACCTGGGTAGACCAGTGGGGAAGATTATTTTAGGTCGGACCTCTTCAAATTAGACCTTCTGAGTAATGAATCCTCCAGTTTCTTCTGTAGGTACTTGGAAAATGCTCAAGAAGAGGCTAAATGAATGCATTGAAGCTTCGTAGTTTTTTCTCCTTCTTTCACATTTTATTCTGGTTAGATTTGAAGCAAATCTGGAGGGAGAGGGGTGCTTGGTTGATTTGAGTAACTAGACTGTCTCTACAATGCCTTTACTTTTTTTGTTCATAGTAGGCCTCAAAGACAAAGACGAGAAGTACATGAAGATGCCCACAAGCAAATCAGGTATGACCATAAGCACATGCACACTGTTTTGCAGATGTTTCTTCCCTAAACCTCAACCGCAGTGATTTTCAGCAGAGCCCCTCCCCGACCCCTCACCAAGGATCAGAAACTGGAGGATGGGGACCAGAGGAAGGGGAGCCTGAAAGGAGACGGCAGCAGGGGGTGGGGGGCTGGCTCCTGGATCAAGCTGGTGAGAGAGGATGTCTGTGGCAATGGGAGCTGGTGTTCCTTCTCTTGACAAACCCGGCTTCCTCTCTTATATCTGTAAGCAGCTCGCTGGTTCCAATTCTTTCCCTGGGCCACCTCCTTTGCTGCCAGCACGGTAATTCCTCACTTTAGAAGGACACTTCCTGGTGGGTTCAGAAATGGCAATGGCTCCTCCCATTTGTGTACCACTTTCTAGTTTGAGAAGTACTTCCAGGTTGGGTGTGGTGTCTCACACCTGTAATCCCAGCACTTTGGGAGGTCTAGGTGGGAGGATTGCCTGCAGGCCAGGGCTTTGAGGCTAGCCTGGCAGCATAGTGGGACCCCTGTCTCTACAGAAAATTTTAAAATTAACTGGACTCAGTTGCATGTACCTGTAGTCCCAGCTACTTGGGAGGTTGAGATGGGAGGATCACTTGAGTCCAGGATCACTTGAGCCCTGGAGTTTGAGGCTGAAGTGAGCTCATGATAGATCACTGCACTACAGCTTGGGTGACAGAGCAAGACCCTGTCTCTAAAAATAAATAAGTAAATAAAAATATAAAATAAAGAGGGAATAACTAGGAATATATATCTGTATATATTTGTATACAAGAAACTCTGCTCAGATAGACAAGAAACCAGTAAGAGAAACACCTGGCCAGGTGCGGTGGTTCATGCCTGTAATTCCAGCACTTTGGGAGGCTGAGGTGGGTGGATCACTTGAGGCTAGGAATTCAAGACTAACATGTCCAACATGGCAAATCCCCTGTCTCTACTAAAAATATAAAACTTAGCTGCGCATGGTGGCAAGCACCTGTAATCCCAGCCACTTGGGAAACTGAGGCATGAGAATCACTTGAACCTGGGAGGTGGAGGTTGCAGTGAGCTGAGATCATACCACTGCACTCCAGCCTGAGTGACACAGTGAGACTCTGTCTCAAAAAAAAAAAAAAGTGAAACACCTGTGGATGAGGGCTGGGGCGGGTGGAGGCAGAAGTGGGAGGCTGAGTCTTCACTACATTTCTTCTTCTAAAAAATTTTCAAATGCTAAAAGTATGTTACCAATAGAGAAAAAGAGAAAATAAATACAAATGACCCCAGGTGCAGTTCAGAAGCAGCAGCAGGAGTAGCCGCCTTCCATGCAGACGGGATGGTCAGCATTTCCCTCCAGGGCAAGGTCCTGCTCCCTCCACAGTGGGCCAACAGAGATCAGGGGACCAGGCTCGGACCATACTCACTTGCTCTCCCCTCCAGCTCAAAACCCCTCAAAAGGCTGAGACACTTTAAGGGAATTTGGGCTATTAATAACAAGACTAGAACCAGCGATTAATAACAAGACTAAACCAGTGATTTAATGTGTTGGTTACACATTAAAATCATCTGGGAAACTTTAAAAAGACCAATTTTCAGGCCCTATTTCCAGACAGTCCAAATCAGCATCTCTGAGGTGGGGCCTGGGCATCAGTATTTTTAAAGCTCCACAGTCACGGTCAAAGTCAATGTCTTGGACCTTCTGGGTCAGTTCATTTATCCAGAAAGATGGAGAAAGGAAGAGGGGATAGCTTAAAAGAAGAAATAGCATACCCCATCACACCTATCAAGATCAAGTCAGAATGTGAGTTACTTTTTATTTGTCTTGGTTGGAATATATGATCTCACTGGTTTCTTCCCCCTTGGCAGCCCAATTCTGAGACGAAGCCCTGACATCACCAAATCGCCTCTGACAAAGTCGGAACAGCTTCTGAGGATAGATGACCATGATTTCAGCATGAGGCCTGGCTTCGGAGGTATGGGATGTGTGCTCTCGCGGTGCGCTCTTTCTTCTGGTCCTCTGTCTGTGGGCAGGAAATCAGCCAAGGTACAGCACAGCTTTGCTCTCCCCTGACCCAGTCTGCCTCGGTTGTGCTTGGTGGACAAGACATTGAGCCCACAGTACGTTCTGAGCATCCGCCTTGCCCCGCCCTGGGTTCTGCTGAACAGAGTCTGAGGAGGCATCTGCTGCTGGGTGGCTGCTGCCCCTCTAGGATGGCTCACAACGAGGGAGGCCAGCAGCTGGCTGTAGGAAGGGCAGGGGAACACAGGGCAGCTGCAGCCCAATACAGCCTCCTAAAAATACCTGGAAATAACAACCTTGGACTAAATTTGTTGTCATCTGGGAGCTGGCAGATAGAGTTCAGGGTACATATCTTAGGGCAGAATGTGATCTGCTCATTTTAATTAAATGAAAATAGCTTGAGAGAATAATGATTTAGTGCAGAAGAATAGCAAGGCCCTATGAAGCTTAGCCTGCAGCTGCTGGGTTTCAGCCTTCTTAATGTCAAGAAGTTTTCATCCTTATGGGTTTATTTTCCTGGAAAAAAAATATTTTAGAAATCTTTCTCAGCCGGGCATGGTGGAACACACCTGAAATCCTAACACTTTGGGATTTCATCTGCCCTGGCTGAGGCGGGCAGATTGCCTGAACTCAGGAGTTCGAGACCAGCCTGGGCAACATGGTAAAACCATGTCTCTACTAAAAATACAGAGCTGTGGTGGCGGGCACCTGTAGTCCCAGCTATTCAGGAGGCTGAGGCAGGAGAATCGCTTGACCCCAGGAGGCGGAGGTTGCAGTGAACTGAGATCACACCACTGCACTCCAGCCTGGGCAACAGAATGAGACTCTGTCTCCAAAAAAAAAGAAATAATTATCTTGCCATTTATTTCTTCCGGTCACGTTTATCCAAAGAGTAAATAGGCTGTAGAAGAGAGTCTCTATCCAGTCCATAATCCACCATTGTTGAATCCAAACCCACCTTTTTAATACTCTATAATGATTCAGTGTGCTCCATGCCTGCCCTTCACCCTGAGAGCAGGGAAGAAAGGGGGCAGGAATTGATTCCCTTCATTATCTTCCTTACTCTTTATCAATATTGAGTCCGTAAGGCCCAGAAATAACAAAAAATCTAATGTTTTAAGGCCACTTCATCACGTTGCAAAGATGCAGATCTGTGGGTTTGGCTAATGACCTGAATATGACTTTGGTTCTGAGTGCCTATTACCAAACAATGCCTTTCTCATGGCCAGACAAGAGACACTGGCTTCCAGAGTGAAAGAGGGTGCAAAACTAGAAGGTAAATATAGGGAATCATGTGGGTGACCTCATGCTAAGAAGTCAGTTACTCTTAGATCAGACCCAGCCTTTGACCTAGGTCTTCATCATACCTTCAGATGAGCATATATAACCAAGAAAGGAGCTTTCAAACTTTTGTTGGAATATTTCAGAAAGCCAGCCTATGGTTCCATGCTTTTGTCTCTGGTTTGACTTCAGGTTGGCATGACCAAACCTCCAAATCTGACATGACGTTGAGGTTCCAGGGGAAATGCTTCTTTTGCCTATTTCCTCCATAGTAAAATTTCAAGTAAAAACAGTGAATGCTCTTATCATGCTCTGTCCCCAGGCCCTGCCATTCCTGTTGGTGTGGATGTGCAGGTGGAGAGTTTGGATAGCATCTCAGAGGTTGACATGGTAAGTGCTTCTCTGACCAGGGCCGTGGCAGGGGGATTCACAAAGCCTGTCCAGGGCCAGGAGCTCCATGCACCTGAATTCACTTAGTCTCACAACTGACCTGGGTGGTGGGAATCCCCACACTCCTTTTACAGATGGCTCAAGAAGATTTGCCCAAAGCCACCCAATTGGTATGAAACAGAGCCAGATAACAAGCTTGGCTTTTCCCACTCCAGTGGTCAGGCTCTTGCCACTGGGATGCATTTTCTGGACAAATGTTCTCAAATGTGAGCAGCAGGGCCCAAGTTTGCAGCTGCCAAGTAGTTAAACACATCTTATTCCTGTGGATTCTGTACCTGGCTGTGGAAATGCAAAAGAAGCAAAAGAGTGTCCTTTTCTCCCCACTTTTTGGTGGGTTCAGGTAAAAAGTGCAACATTCTCTAACTCCTTGACTTACAGGACGTTTTAGGGACCTAGCTTAGTTTGGGTCCCCCAAGAAGCAGACCTGAGACAAGCAGTCACAAGCATAAGTATAAGCAGTTTATTTGGGAGGTGATCCTGGGAAACACCAGAACAAAGTGGGGAAGAGAGGAGTAAAAGGAAGCAAAGACGGCTGTGCTATCAAACCAGTTACTTTGGAACTGGTGTAGAACTCAGTTATAGAACCACAGAACTCAGTGCCACTGGAGTACTCTGGGAGTCAGCGAAGAACACACTTCAGGGTTATCCTGACTCAGGGGTGCAGGAGCTGGGGTATTTATCCACTGCCTTCTCTCTGGTTGAGTGCTGTTTGCAGACATTAACTTTCTGGCACTTGTGGCTTGAGTCACACATGGTGGCAGTAGCAGCCCCTCAAGTGTAGAGCGAATGCCAGTGGCTTGAGGCAGGGCCAGGCACGCTCACACTGTCTGCTCCAGGCTTCTCACTGAGTTCCCTGCCATTGCAGCATTCTTTTCCTCCTACTGCAGCAAACTCCGGGGACTAGAAGCAAGACCTCCCTTGGCTCGGTTTCATTCCCCAGCTAAATGAGGCTCCACAGGGGCTACAGAATCCACACCTCAGTGGGTTTGTGTGTGTCTGGGGTTCCCTCTCTGCCCCTCTGCCCCAGGACTTTACGATGACACTCTACCTGAGGCACTACTGGAAGGACGAGAGGCTGTCTTTTCCAAGCACCAACAACCTCAGCATGACATTTGATGGCAGGCTGGTCAAGAAGATCTGGGTCCCTGACATGTTTTTCGTGCACTCCAAACGCTCCTTCATCCATGACACCACCACAGACAACGTCATGTTGCGGGTCCAGCCCGACGGGAAAGTGCTCTACAGTCTCAGGTAGGAAGAAAAGCAGATTGTTCATATTAACCAAGAAAAGCATTGGTTTCACAACAGCAGTTTGGGTTTTTGGCTCTGAATGTCTACTTTCTAACTTTTCAGTAGCTGCCAGCTTCTCAACATCAAGGAAATCTAACTTTATATGTGAGTAGAAATTTTAAAGAATTAATCTTGAAAATACATTTGGGGCAATTTCTCAAGCTGATACTATTCTATATGTTATCTTTCAATAATAAACAAGTTTTTTTCTCTAGTAGGAGTCAGAGAAATAGACAGTGTGTTCTCAAGGACTTACCTCCTACAATCTCTCTGATTCCCGTTTTTCAGGAACGTTTTAGAACTTTTGTTTAAAAAAAGTTCTTTTGCTTCATCTGGCCACCGCAGGCATGTTTTTTCTCCTTTCTCTCCATAGTGTTCTACTTGAGAAACTATGGGGACCCCCGGCAACTTCATGACTTGACGTGCCATTCCGAACATCACGTTTTAAATATAATAAATAAAATCTTCTTACCAGTTCAGACACTTTAAAAACATTTAATTGCTCATTAAACGCTGGCCTGAGGAAGCTTTCCTTAAACCCAGCTCCACAGTGTGGTTTTCAGGCTGCACAGGAGCTTTAGAAACTCATGGTACTCTAGGCATGTGGAGATGAGCAGCAGGCCTTCACAGAGAAGGGATGTGGTCACTTGCTGTGGTCTGCTCCTATTTTGCTGTGTGGACGGTGCATTCCAGTTTCACGGACTTTGCTTTGGCCTCCATGTTGATGAATGGTAAAGATGAATCCACACATCAGTGTATAAGTAGAAGGTTCATGGATAGTTGCACAGTAGACCTATAGATCTATAGAGTCAGAGATTGCAATGTTGAAGCTGACTTTCTGTCCCCATTCCCCAAAGGAATATTTATGATGATCCCTCCATACTCATTCTGGCTTGGAACTTAAGTAATTAGGTACCTGACACGGAGTGGGGATTATGGGGTTTTCATCTTTGAGGCTTAAAATGCTTCCTCCCATAAGAAGTACTCAGGCGGATGCAGGATGTGCAACCCCTTCCCCAACCCATGTTGAGCTGGTTCTCCCTGAAGTCCTCATTTCTGAAGCAGGTTTTCTTTTTTTTTTTTTCATTCTTTTCTTTATTTCTTTTCTTCTTTTATTTACAGAGTTTTGCTCTATTGCCCAGGCTGGAGTGCAGTGGCATGATCATGGCTTACTGCAGCCTCAACCTCTCAGACCCAAGCAATAATCTGACCTCAGTCTCCCAAGTGGCTGGGACCAAAGGCATGTGCCACTATGCCCAGATAAATTTTTTAAAATTATTTTTGTAAAGACAGAATGTCCCTATATTGGCTTAGGCTAGTCTTGAACTCCTGAGCTCAAGCTGTCCTCTCACATTGGCCTCCCAAAGTACTGGGATTACAGGTGTGAGCCACCACACCTGGCCCACTGAGACAGGTTTTCAAGGCATCTTAAGGCTCAGAAACTACCAACACAACAACACAACTCAATGGCATCACTAGGGCTACAGAGTTCTAGACCATAACATATGTGACCATTGGTATGCCAGTAAATGTTTAACAATTGGTTACCTGGGGGGAAAGTATGCATATCTATGTGTATATAAGTTTATTGTAAACATCACTGACATAAAGGATGTATAATGCTCTTTATTATAAATTCTATGTATTTATAACTTAAGCATGATTTCCTAGTTCTTGGAAAAACCACTGTAAGTTTTTTATAATTCTGTCATCAACAAATGAATGTAGAGCTGATGAATGTTGGTTGATATTTTCTTTTCCATTAGTGAGACAAAAGTGAAACAATGAAGAACTGTGTAGGAACTTTACTCATTCATCAAAGAAAAAGCAAGTTCTTTGCTGAATTGGATGATAGCTTTCAAATATTGAAATATATCCTCAATATTTTGTACTACTCACAATGTAATGGTAATAGGCATAACACCCTTTTAGGCTTAATCTGCCTTAAGTCTAGACAATCAACAAAACAATAAATCAAGCCCTGATTTGTCGTGTTTGCTGATTTATGTAGTGTAAATACTCCCATCCTGGCTGATTTCAGGCTCCCAACCTGATGTCACTAAATGCAGAATTAGGAAGAAATTCATGGCAGCACACCATTATGCAGTATTTCCACTATACAGATGCAATAAGTGTAAATGGTTTCAAGAATATAGATAATAATAAAATGTAGTTAAATAATTAGGAAGTGATGAGTATTTTTTACTTTTGTTTTTACAAGATAAGTCTGGTAATAGTGAATTCTCTCAGCTTTTGTTTGTCTGGAAAAAGACTATCTCTCCTTTACATTCAAAGGATAATTTTGCTGGATATAATATTCTTGGATGACAGTTTTTTTTCTTTGAGCACTTTGAAAATGTTCTTCTACTTCCTTGTGGTCGGCATAATTTCCACTGGGAAGTCTGTTGTCAGACAAATTGGAGCTTTTTTTTTTTTTTTTTTGGAGATGGAGTCTCACTCTGTCACCTGGGCTAGAGTGCAGTGGTGCAATCTCGGCTCACTGCAACCTCCACCTCTCAGGTTTAAGTTATTCTCCTGCCTCAGCCTGTCAAGTAGCTGGGACTACAGGTGCATACCACCACCCCCGGCTGATTTTTTTGTATTTTAGTAGAGACGAGGTTTCACTGTGTTGCCCAGGCTGGTCTTAAACTCCTGAGCTCAGGTAACCTGCCCACCTCAGCCTCCCAAAGTGCTAGGATTACAGGCATAAGCCACTGTGCCTAGCCCAAATTGGAGCTTTTTAATGTGTTATTTGCCTTATTTATCTTGCTGCTTTTAGGATCTTCTCTTTGTTCTTGACCTTTCAGATGGATTGCTATATGCCTGGAGGTAGTCTTATTTGCATTGATTCTGTTTGGTGTCCTCAGACCTTCCTATACCTGTATATTTATCTCTTTCTTGAGTTTTGGAAAGTTTCCTGTTATTATTCCTTTGAATGCACTTTCCACCCCTTGCTCTTGCTCAGCTCTGTCTTGAACACCAATAATTCTTAGATTTGGTCCTTTGAGGTAATTTTCCATATCTTATAGGCAGCCTTTGTTCCTTTTCATTCTTTCTTCTTTTTTTCTCCTCTGACTATATTTTCAAATAGCCAGTCTTCTAGCTCACAGATTCTTTCCTCTGCTTGGTTCATTCTGCTGTTGAGAGCCTCTAAAGAGTTCATCAGTTCAGCAAATGTATTTCACAGTTCCCACATTTCTGTTCGATTTTTGTTGTTGTTATTTCAATCTCTTTGCTAAATTTCTCTGATAAATTTCTGAATTGCTTTTTTATGTTATTTTAGATATCACTGCATTTCCTTAAAATTGCTATTTTGGATTCTTGGTCAGAGAGACTACAAATTATGGTCTTGTTAGGATCCCCTTTTGGGGAGGTCCTAATTCCCTGTTTGCTGTTGTTTCTTGTTGGTATACATCTACGTCTTTGCATTGAAGGATTAGTTATTTATTCCAGTTTTCTCTGTCCAGTTAGTTTTGTTTTTTATTGACTGTATCTGTTTAGTGAATCTGTTACTAGGTTGCTGCCTCCTTTTCAGCTCTAGGTGGCACCTTAAGCCCAGGTTCGCCTCACTCCAGTAACCTGTCTGTCTGTGCACTGCCAGTCCCAAATCGGGGAGGTCCCGAGGGGATTATCCTAGCAGTGTGGGAAGGCTGGCTAGGAGTTCGTGCCTAGGGGACCTACAGAATGTTCTTCCTACAGTACTACTGAACAGCCACTCTGATTTGGCATCTCCTTTGGTCAGGTTACACAGCATAATTTCCAGGATGAGGGTGGTAGTCCTGCCTCCCCTTTGTCTCTGCCTGTTCTCAGGGCTATTTCACCCTTCAGGCAATGATGATGCTTCTCGTTGGTTGAGGTAAGGAGAAATCTCCTGCCAGGGAACCCAAGAAGGTAGGGAATCTGACTGATCACCTCAATTTCACTTTTTCCAGTGTAGAAGTCATGAGTTGGGGGGAGATTTTCCATGCATTTGGTGGCAGGTAGAATGGGAGAGAGGAGCATCAGGGATGTGTAAGTCCAGTTCTCCTACTGTCATCTCAGTTTTTCTACTTCTCTGTGGCCCAGGGAACTGTCTCATCCTCATCCTTGAGCTCTGGGTTGTTGCTGGTGAAAATCTTAGCGTGATATATTTGTTTTTGGTTTTCAGTGGTGGGGAGTGAAGCAGCTTGCCTCTATGCCACGATTTTGGAACTGGAAGCTATTATTTATGTTTTTTAATGTGACATTTAATTTTAATGTTTAATAGTGACTGTGTTTAACAACTGGCTCACAAGCTTCCTAAAAATCTAGCGATCAGCTCCCGAAAGCCTATAGAAGTCTAGTCCAGTGCACCACTGGATGTGAGTGCAAGAAGGGAGTAGAAAATCTTTGGTATGTTCAGAATAAAAAATCCTCAGTGAGCCTCACCCACCAGGAAAACACCTCCTTTCCCTCTCTGTGCGTGAAAACAGATGAGTTAATTTCTCATTGCAAATAGAGTTATGAGTTTGTTCAATTTAAATGAAAAAAAAAAAAAGAGATCTGAGTTACTGAAGACCACCACTTTGAAATTTATTTTAAGGAAAACATGTCAGCTCTGTCAGCCACTGGCCAGCTCCTAAAATACATCTAATTAACCATCTCCTCACTTCATTCACTCATTGATTACTCCACCAGATTCTTATTAACAGCCTCCTGGGTGCCACGGTGGCCTGTGGAGTTGTACGAATGAAAGTCATGCCAGGTTCTAGATCAAGCTCTGGGGACATAAAGACAGGAATAGAGGTCACTGTCCTTCCCGGGACTGTAGGCTAGTGGAGGAGACAGGCACAGAACCCAATGCTTAGTACGCAAATGAGGAATGCAGCAGTGCAGTGGGAGGAGGAGCAGGGAGCCACAGATAACAGGATGATGAGAACAGTTTCCTAGGCATCAGCATACAATAAAAACCGAAATCCACAAGTAAGATGCTCTGTTATGCTTGGTAAATATAACTAAGGTAATATTGAAAAACCAGTTCCATGACTTTTGAATCCCTAGTCAACTTCAAGATATAAAAGAGTCAGTGAGGCCGGGCGTGGTGGCTCAGGCCTGTAATCCCAGCCCTTTGGAAGGCTGCGACAGCTGGATCATCTGAAGTCAGGAGTTTGATACCAGCCTGGCCAATATGGCAAGATCCCATCTCTACTAAAAATACAAAAATTAGCCGGGCATGGTGGCACATGTCTGTAGTCCCAGCTACTCCGGAGGCTGAGGCTGGAGAATTGTTTGAACCAGGGAGGTGGAGGTTGCAGTGAGCTGAGATCGCACCACTGCACTCCAGCCTGGGAGACAGAGCGACGATGTAAAAAAAAAAAAAAAAAAAAGAAGAAGAAGAAGAGGAGTCAATGACAGCGGGAGAAAGGAAAGATTTATGAAATTTTCCCGGGAGAGCACTGTGGGCATGCCGTGAGTGGGCCTTCACTGGGACCTCTCAGAAAGGTTGGTGTGTGTGTGCCTGCAGTTTGGGACACGGTGCAGTTAGGTGGGAGAGAAGAGCTGTCTGACCACCCTGGGGGGCAGAACCAGAAGTTTTTGCTGCAGTGGGATCAGCCTGTACTTATCTGTGAGTGTACGTGGAGAGGACGGTGGGTGAACCAAGAGCTGGAGAACAGAAGCCTGCAGTGTGGAGGCACCCAGTCGTGGGAGTGAGGAAGCCAGGAAAAAAGTATCAGCTTCCACCAGGTAGCAGGCCCAGAGAGCAGGAAACTGCCCAGCCACAGAACTACCCTGCGCCCACCTCCCTGTCTCCTTGCACTTCCACCTGTGCGGGAGGAGATCAGAGATGGGCAGAAACTGATCACTCAAATGCCAACTTGTTTTTTTATTTTTTTAATTTTTTCGCTGGAGTCTCGCTCTGTCGCCCAGGCTGGAGTGCAGTGGTGCGATCTTGGCTCGCTGCAACCACTGCCTCCCAGGTTCAAGTAATTTTCCTGCCTCAGCCTCCTGAGTAGCTGGGACTACAGGCACCCGCCACTACACCCGTCAAATGCCAACTTTTTATCTTAGCTGAGGAGGGACAGCAGAAGTCTTCATTTGAATGAACTTTGAAGCTAATGAATACCTCAGACCAAAACTCTTAATTTCTGAATTAAGGTGTTGTTTGTAACTTAAGAGGGTTTTGACTATTACATGAGAGTGAACAGAAGAGCCACGGGACCTGCCAAGTTTCCATCCAGGGCAGGGAAGAGCCCCTCCAATGAATGCTTTAAAGGGACTTGTGGAAATGACAATAAACATGGGCTTTGATTACATCACAAATAGTTGTTTTATGTATAGGTTATACGGAGAGAAGCATCAACTCAGGGTGGGAAGACCCATTCTGATTATGTCTGTAAATCTGAAAACAGCTATTCCTGTACCAACTAACAGAAAGAGAAGGAGTATTCAGTCCCCTTGTTCGTAGCAAAACATTTCCTTCATTGGGCATTCTACGTCCCTAAAGTTAGCTCCAAGTGTCCCTGAAGTTAGTTCTTAGCTTATTTCATGTTGATGATGCCATTGGGCATCGTTATGTGATGATGTACCCACAGAAATGGAAACCCATCCATTACACATCCGAGTCAGCTGCCAGCCTGACCCCCACCTCGACCCCTGCACTCTAACATTCCCTGTTTATCAGGATTTCCAGGAGATATAAGACCACCCAGCTGCTGGCAATCAAAAATGCCTCATAGATAGAATACATCCTCAAAGCAGTGGGAAAAAATGAGGCAAATGTTTGAAAAATTCCATTTCAAGAATGCTCTTTTCCTTGAAATTTCCATTTAAATTAAAAGTGATTTTTCTTTTTGACCATGAAATTATTCATATAATTTCCACAACTTTTTTTTTTTTTTTTTTTTTTGAGACGGAGTCTCGCTCTGTCGCCCAGGCTGGAGTGCAGTGGCCGGATCTCAGCTCACTGCAAGCTCCGCCTCCCGGGTTCCCGCCATTCTCCTGCCTCAGCCTCCCGAGTAGCTGGGACTACAGGCGCCCGCCACCTCGCCCGGCTAGTTTTTTGTATTTTTTTTTTTTTTAGTAGAGACGGGGTTTCACCGTGTTAGCCAGGATGGTCTCGATCTCCTGACCTCGTGATCCGCCCGTCTCGGCCTCCCAAAGTGCTGGGATTACAGGCTTGAGCCACCGCGCCCGGCCAATTTCCACAACTTTTACATAGCAAATATTGCGTGGTCGAAGGAAAAGTAGTCCACTCGGCACCAGCGAAGAAGAGTTAATAGTGTCCTGCTGCGAAATTTCCCAATGGATAGGAGCCTTTTCACCTGTGAAGAATGATCTGTATGTGTTTGGCTTTTGATGCAGAAGCCTCTTTCCCAGTGTAAACTCTGAAATAAAATCACTCAATGTCAGCAAGTGCTTGCCTGTTAACACGATAAGACCTTTCAGTGTTTTTCCATTACTTTGATCTCCGAGGAATTATCCACTAACAACACATATGTCCACTATACTATTATCAATATAAAAATATCAACATTGTTAAAGAAAAAGTGCCAGGCTTGGCAACTGGGGTAAGTGTACACCGTATTGTATACGATATTGAATATCAATAAAATCAATAAAAGAACAAAAGAACTGGAATTTATCTGAAACAGGAGACAATATATGGTCCTAGGGCTTCTTTTAAGAAACCACACCATGTAAGTTTTTATTTCACATTATTATATTGATTGAGACCATTGCTTCTTTAAAATGCTTGAATGTGGTAAGAGTTAGCAGAGACATTCTGTTTGCCTCACACTGACCCTTGGGTTAAACATAAATGCCAAAGAGTACTCCAGTGAGGGTATCTCTCTTAAGCTACTTATCTAAACCCTGACACGTTGCTTATGAAGTATGAGAAGAGGCATTTATGATATTGGAAGGAAGCAGAGGCTTTTCTGTTTGTTTTATCATTTTGCACTTGTCTTTTGCAGGCTCTGAATAAATCAATTTTGTCTTTTTCGCCCTAGGGTTACAGTAACTGCAATGTGCAACATGGACTTCAGCCGATTTCCCTTGGACACACAAACGTGCTCTCTTGAAATTGAAAGCTGTGAGTAGACTTGTGCCCAGGCATCAGCACACAGCTCCCGATAATTCTCAACACCTCTAACTCTCAGCTGCAGGAACAGTGTGTGTTCCTTATTCATGAGTAGACTTTTTTTTTTTTTTTTTTTTTTTCAGTCTGAGTCTCACACTGTCCCCTGGGCAGGAATGCAGTGGTGCGGTCTCTCTGCTCACTGCAACCTCTGCCTCCCAGGTTCAAGTGATTCTCCTGCCTCAGCCCCCCAAGTAGCTGGGATTACAGGTGTCTGCCACCACACCTGGCTAATTTTTTGTATTTTTGGTAGAGACGGAGTTTCACTATATTGGCCAGGCTGGTCTCGAATGGCTGACCTTGTGATCCACCTGCCTTGGCCTCCCAAAGTGCTGGGATTACAGGCGTGAGCCACCGCGCCCAGTCTTCATGACTATACTTTTAAAGTAATGTGTTAGATTGAAGCTAGGTCTAGGGTAATTTTAAATATCAGGAACAAATTTGAAACTAAAATCTTCATTGCCATAACTGGCCTTTTTAATGCCCTGTGGCAATGGTTTTAAACTTTGTTCTATTGAGTCAGGGTAACTGCTTGGGGAGGGGAAGGAGAGGGATAAGCGAATGTGGGTCTCCTTCCAGGCCCTTTGCCCAACACACACACACACACACACACACACACACACACACACATGAGTTCATCCAGAGAGCTCATTTTTGATATGTTTTATTGCTCTTCTGAATGTAATTTCTGCTGAAGAAAGGATTTCCTGGCCAAAACAAGTTTGACAACAGTTGCCCTAGGGAACTGCCACTGCGAGTTCGTGTGGTGGATGAGATTCTCAAGCACAACAAGCGACTTCAGGAAGCTTGCACACACACAGACATCCTGGAAAAGCTAAAAACCAGGCCCCGTGACACCATAGGCGCAGGTGACAAAAGAAAAAATACGCAAATTGGACTATATGAAAATTGTTAATTTTGAGCATCGACATTATCAACAGAGTAAAAAGACAACCCACAAATGGGAGAATATATTGATAAATCATCTATCTGATTAAGATTGATATCCGGAATATAAAGAGAACAACTAAAACTCAACAACAACAACAAAACAATCTGCTTAAAAAAAATGGACAAAAGACTTGAATAGACATTTCTCCAAAGAAGGTATACAAATGGCCAAGAAGCACATGAAAAGATGTTCAACATCGCTAATCATTAGGAAAATGCAAACCAAAACTACAATGAGTTACATTTACTGGGATGAATACTGTCAACAAAACAGAAAACAATGCTGGGGAGGATGTGAATAAATTAGAACCCTTATGCTTTGTGGGTAGTAATGTATAATGGTGCAGCCACTGGGGAAAACAGCTCCTCAAAAAATTAAAACAATGGCTGGGCACGGTTGCTCACACCTGTAATCCCAGCACTGTGGGTGGCCGGGGTTAGAGGATCACTTGAGTCCAGAAGTTGAAGACCAGCCCGGGGAACATAGTAAGACCCTGTCTCTACAAAAAGTACAAAAATGTGCCGGGCATGGTGGCTGGTACCTGTGGTCCCAGCTACTCGGGAGGCTGAAGCAGGAGAATCACTGGAGCCCAAGAGCCTGAGCCTGCAGTGAGCTATGATTGTACCACTGCACTCCAGCCTGGGTGAGAAAGCAAGAGCCCTGTCTCAAAAAAAAAAAAAAAAAAAAAAAAAAAAATTAAGAACATATGATCCAACAAATCCATTTCTGGGTATATAACCAAAATAATTGAAAGCAGGGTCTTGAAAAGGTACTTGTACACTCATATTTATAGCAGTTTTATTCACAATTGCTAAAACATGAAAACAACCCAAGTGTCCATCACTGGATGAATGGATACACAGAATGTAGTATCTGCATACAGTGGAAGAATGTTCAGCCTTAAAACACAAGCGTTTCCGATACATGCTACAGCACGAATGAAACTTGAGGGCAGTGTGCTAAGTGAAATCCGCCAATCGCAAAAGACAAATACTGTATGATTTCACTTTTAAGAGGTACTTAGCAGAGTCAAAATTATAGAGACAGAAAGTAGAATGGTGGTTGCCAGAGGCTGGGGGGAGGGGAAACAGGGATGAGGGGTTATTGTTAAATGGGTATGGAGCTTCAGTTTGGGAAGATGAAAAGAGTTCCGGAGATGGATGGTGGTATGACCATCATAATGGTTGTATTTATGTGGTAATGTAGTACCACATAAATACTACATGAAAATTTAAAAATGCTGTGCATCAAAACATTATCAACAGAGTAAATGCAACCCACGAATGGGAGAATATACATTGGCAAATGGTATGTCCAACCATAAGAATGGTTGTATTTATGTAGTAATTTTCATGTAGTATAATTTTCATTATATTTATCATGCATCATAAATACAACACTAAGAATGTAGTGCAATACCACTGAAGTTACACTAAAGAATGGTTAAGATGGTAAATTTTATGTTATGTGTATTTTAACACAACACACACACACACACACCCCCCTCCCAGAAACCAGGCCACAGAAAGAGCCAGGCTGAAGCTGTGTAAAATGATCCACATCCACATGCATCTCTGTCCCTCTACATGTCCGCTCCTTTTTCCTCCCTGCCAAAACACTTTCTCTGACAGCACAGGGGACACCCTTGTGACTCCTACACTCCCCCTGAACGTTGGCACTCCCTGGCAGTGTCAAAGCCCGAGTGAGGGTTCTTACTGGTCCAGGGCACTTTGTAAGCCAGCCTGGGCTTGTGGCAGTGGATCAGGTGTTTGTCCCCTGGCTCCAATCACCTGGGACCAAGGAGTGCAGGGATGTTGACATCACACACCACTGGGGCCAAAGGGACAGCTGCCTAGGGCATTGGATGTGGGGAAAGGGTGTAATAAAACCCAGGACCAAGGGAGCGGCTGCTTATTGCACAATGGCTTTACCTCTGCCTTATCATGCAACCCTCACAAGAGCCTGATGAGCAGGTTATCATCATTTTACAAAGGAGGGACAGAGCTCGGTGGCAGAGCCAGACTGAAATACTGAGTTCATTGTCTCCAGAACTTAGTTTTCCCTACTATGCCTGGGCAGCTTCTGCCTCCATCTGGAATGTAGCCTTTTTTCAGGTTGTATCGGTCATGGCTCCACCAAATAAACAGAACCAGTAGGATATACAGAGTAGAGATTTATTGCACGGAAGTGGCTAGCGGGATTGTGGGGGCTGGCTAAGAGTCCCACATCTGCGGGGCAGGCCATCGGGAGTGCAGGAGGGGCGCTCTGGGGCAGGAGCGGATGCCACAGTCCACAGGTGGGATTTCTTCTTCCAGGAAGCCTCAGCTCTGCCCCTAAGGCCTTTCACCTGATGGAATCAGGCCCACCCAGATTATCCAGGAAAATCCCCTTTAAAGTCCACTGGTTGTAGATGTTAGTCACACCTGCAAAACACTGTTACAGATTACTGTTTGATTGCATAATTGGGTACCATAGCCAAGCCGAGTTGACTCATGAAACTGACCATCACACAGGTCAAGTGTTAGAAAACAGGAATAAAATAGTGCCAGGGAATCCTGGAAGGAATTGTTTACACATGAGCAGACTGGACTGGCAGTGCCATGCGGCTTTTCCTCAGTTATGCTCAGGCTGGAGGTAGGTTTGTTCACTCGGAGTTCACCGGAAGCAGGTGAGGGAAGGGGAAATGGTAGCACCAGAAAGGGTGATGATCATGGAGACACTTCGACTTTACCCTGAGTAGGAGTAACTGGAGTCCTACAGAGGAGGGACTTGTTCCACTCCCATATCTTTGTGGGTCTTTTCTTGCTAAAATGCAGCCTTTATTACCTGATAGTGTTTACAGATACTTGCCATCAATTGATGAGTCGCCACACTTTGAAAGAAGAAAGGAAAAGGCTAAATTACTCCCTGTTTGTAAGGCTGAGCCATGTGAAATTTTGCCAATGTTTAACCATTTCTAACTTACAAAAATAGCAATTTCACTTGATTGAACCTAATAAATGGCAGAATTTTAGGGTGAAACTTTTGCAGAAGTATGAGCATTTGGGCTTGAGAACTTTGCTCTGATGACTTTTGAAAGAGTGGAGATAATTAAATTTGTCTTTTTGGATATTGTTTTGCTTTATTTAGACTGTGGTTTGTTTTTCAAACTATCATATCACAATCCCAGTATCAGTGTGGGAGGTCAGGGCACAGCTTCCACGTAGCCCCACAGACCATCCTGTCTTGCCACCACCTTGTGTCTGACGCTGGCCCCTGTCTTTTCAGATGCCTATACAGAAGATGACCTCATGCTGTACTGGAAAAAAGGCAACGACTCCTTAAAGACAGATGAACGGATCTCACTCTCCCAGTTCCTCATTCAAGAATTCCACACTACCACCAAACTGGCTTTCTACAGCAGCACAGGTAAGTGTGGGGTGAGGGCTGAGAGTCAGGGCGGCTTCAGCTTGGTCTCAGAGGTTCGCCCTCTATTACAGGAAAGGTTTGAATTGGTCATCAATTGAGCAGTGTCACTTATATTTGAAACTAAAGACAGAGGCAGGGTGCAGTGGCTCATGTCCCAGCACTTTGGGAGGCCAAGGTGGATGCATCGCTTGAGCTTAGGAGTTCAAGACCAGCCTGGCCAACATGGCGAAACTCAGTCTCTACTAAAAATACAAAAATTAGCCAAACATGGTGGCACATACCTGTAGTCCCAGCTACCCGGAAGACTAAGGTGGGAGATCCCTTGAGCCCTGGAGTTCGAGGTTACAGTGAGCCGAGATCACGCCACTGCACTCCAGCCTGGGCGACAGAGTGAGACCCTGTCTCAAAAGAAAAGAAAAGAAAAGAAACTAAAGACAGAAATCCTAAGTGAAATCTAGTGGGTAGCAAGCAGTGGGTGGAAGTGATTTTTTTGATACCACCAATGCATCAGAGTAATAACCTAAAAAATTAGTAAGGACTGAAAACATAAGCCGCGTGAGCGGGTTTATTTGAGACAATCGCATTGCCAGCTTAGTAGGCATCTCAGCCATGATATGCCGATCTGAGCCTCCTCCTTGACAGCAAGAAACAAGTATAATTCAGGTCTGTTGTTTTCAATTTACGTTCTCCCTGCTCCAGCCAGCCCCATGGGGTCACTCCACTCTTGACCAGTCTGCTCTTGCTATGCTGCTTGCACGGCCCCTCCTGGTGACTCCCTTCTAAGTCTCAGTGCAGTCCCCTGTGGACCCAGTTGTTCCTTTTTGAACCAAGGGTCGGGACAGGCTCACCCTCTCCTGTTGCCTGAGGGCATGCTCTGTGACCTCTCTCCTGGGAGTTTGCCTGCACTAAATAGCTGAGGTTAACTCGCTCCATTTCTTGCCTTTAAAAAAAAAAAAAATTCAATAGTTTTAGGGATACTAATGGGAATACTAGTGGGTTTTGATTACATCAATGAATTGTATAGTGGTGAAGTCTAGGATTTGTTTTGTTTTGTTTTGAGATGGAGTCTCACTCTGTTGCCCAGGCTGGAGTGCAATTGCCAGGTCTGGACTCACTGCAAACTCTGCCTCCCGGATTCAAGCAATTCTCCTGCCTCAGCCTCCCGAGTAGCTGGGATTACAGGCGCCCACTGTCAAGGCTGGCTAATTTTTGTATTTTTAATAGGGATGGGGTTTCACCATGTTGGCCAGGCTGGTCTCGAACTTTTGACCTCAAATGATTCGTCCGCCTTGGCCTCCCAAAGTACTGGGATTACAGGTGTGAACCACTGTGCCCAGCCAAAGTCTAGGATTTTAGTACATCTGTCACCTGAGTGGTGTACATTGTACCCAATAGGTAGTTTTTCATCCCTCACTCTCCTCCCACCCTCCCTGCTTCTGAGTCTCCAGTGTCCACTATACCACTCTGTATGCCTTTGTGTTCCCATAGCTTAGCTCCCACTTATAAGTGAAAACATATGGTATCTGCTTTTCAATTCTTGAGTTATTTCACCTAGAATAATGGCCTCCAGTTCCATCCAAGTTACTGCAAAAGACATTATTTCATCTTTTTTTTTATGGGAAGGTGGTATTCCATGGTGTGTATATACCGTATTCTCTTTATCCATTCATCTGTTGATGGACACTCAGGTTGATTCCATATCTTTGTAACTGTGAATTGTGCTTCTTGCCTCTTTTTTGACCAGTCACCTTTCAGGATGATTTTGCTCAAATCTTCATGCAGTTTCTATGGCTAAAATTTGCGCAACTGACTGCACAGGGAAGCACATTCTTATTAAATACTCCATGGTCTTTCTAATCTGTAAGAGGGAGAACCAACATAGCACTGCAACCTAGCACATACTATCTCCTGTATCCATCACCCCAAAAGTATTGGTTCCTTGGGGGAACCCTGTTCTTTTGACCCTCAGCATTCTGATAATCCCTCTGCAGTAGCTTGCTGGTAACCAGAGGCGTGTCCCATGCATTATAATGACCCGGGATGCCAAGTTTCCAAGTTCATATTACCAAGTCCGCATCCATTTTATTTTCAGTCCTAGGCATCTCACTCATATAAGGCCTTTTCCTTTTTTTTTCCATCATCCTCCCTTTGTCTTCAACTCCTCCATGCATATGTTTTCCTTGTTAAGGATACAAAAGAAGAGCTAAAATGTAGCTGGACCTGTGATTGTTCACTGTGTTCCTAAATACAACGTTGTATGTAACTTTCTTTTTTAACTTAAAGCACATTTCTCCCCTTAAGGAATCTAAAGAGATTGTTTAAATCAGTGCTTCTCAAACTTTGACGTGCATATGAATTATGAACAAATAATAAATATACATATACATATATATATATATATATATATACACACATATACATATTTGTTTTTTTCCTAATAGAGACAGGGTCTCACTCTGTGGCTCAAGCTGGAGTGCAGTGGGGCGATCATAGCTCACTGTAAACTCAAACTCCTGAGCTCAAGTGATCCTCCCACCTCGGCCTCCCAAAGTGCTGGGATTATAGGCATGAGCCACCGCGCCTAGCCGAGAATGCTGTTCAATGGACGTCCAATTAAGTAGGTTTGGGTTGGGGCCCAGGTATCTGCATTTATAACAAGCTCCCAGGTGATAGTGAGGTTGCTGAACCCTAGACCAGGTAATGGGAGTAACAGGAGTTTAAATGACCCAGGCATGATGGTGGTTCATACCTGTAATGTCAGCATTTTGGGAGGCTGAAGTGGGTGGATCACTCGAAGCCGGGAGTTCGAGACCAGCCTGGTGAACATAGCAAGACCCAGTCTCTACCAGAAAAATTTAAAAATTCATTCGGTGTAGTGGTACCAGCTACTTGGGAGGCTGAGGTGGGAGGATTGCTTGCACCCAGGAGTTCGAGGCTGCTGTGAGCCAAGATTGCACCACTGCACTCCAGCCTGGTGACAGAGCAAGACCCTGTCTTAAAAAAAGAAAAAAAATTTAAATGATCTTTTCAAGGGGTTCCCTTTGTAAATAGGACAAGGGCCAAAGGTTTCTCGAAACAGATGCACCTAGGTGGTATGTGTTGCTGTATAATCACTTTGTTCCATGATTTCTCTCACTTTCACCTTATAAAGACATGGTCCAAGAGTCCATTGGAGTGTCTAAGGCACTTACGATTTCCTGAATAAAATGTGTTTTATGAAGGAGCCATGATGTGTACTGTCTTTTATTCCTGTGTCCCCCAGGCTGGTACAACCGTCTGTACATTAACTTCACGTTGCGTCGCCACATCTTCTTCTTCTTGCTCCAAACTTATTTCCCCGCCACCCTAATGGTCATGCTGTCCTGGGTGTCCTTCTGGATCGACCGCAGAGCTGTGCCTGCCAGAGTCCCCTTAGGTAAGGAATATCTCAAGTGCATATTCCAAGCATCTGCAAATATAGGTATTAACAATTCCTTCCAGATAAAACCATTCTTTTCAAATTGATTCTGTACCCCTTTTGGCGTTATGACTTGGAAAAACTCAAGAGTTATTTATTTATAGGTAAAATCCCATAATTAGGAATCTATGTAGCAAAATGCTTTCCAGGACTCTGCAGGTGCCCATCCAAACAGACCCCCTTTAGTCTTGTCGAAGCCATGTTCCAGGGTGGGTGAGCCTGGTCTTTAGGTGCCTTCTTTGCTCACCTGCAAAATGAATCATGTCCTACAACAGTGTTTCTCAAATGGTAGCTCAAGGGCTCTTTGTGATAGAATCTTTGTGGGAAATTGTTAAAAACGAAGGGTCCTGGGTCTCATCTGCATCTATAGAATGAGAATCTCTGAGGGAGGATCAGGAACCTGCATTTTTTACAGGCTCTCCCAGTAATTATTCTATGCACTCAAGTCTGAGAATCCCTTCTCTATAAGCATTCCACTTATGGCTATTTGCCATCAGCTCTTTTTCTCACCTTAAGTATTGTACCCATTTATACACACCACCATTGCTCAGACAGTTCAGGGGCTGCAGGGGAGAATGCGACCCACCAGGTTTTAGTGAAACTGGATTGGAGCTGGCCCTTAAGATGACCCCAATCCCCTGTGATTTGATGTTTGCCAAACAAATGTTCTGAGCTTAATTTGAAATCCTGGGCAAATTTCCATGGACAGATGCCTTGTCCTCTAACAGTTGTTCCATAGCTTGAACAGTTACTGTGCTAAATAGATAAACACTCTAGTTTTAAAATCTGTTTCCTATAAATGAAGTTAATGTTGTCATCCTTAGTGAAATTGACCCATGAATCCTCAAGTGAACAATGCTGAATGGGCAGCTAGGGCCAGCATGGTAGTGGCTGCTGGGGGTGCCCTGGCAGCTGTCAACACAGGCCCGGGACAACAGGACTGCACACCAAGAGCCAGGACATGATATTAAAATAAACCTTATGGGCTTTTTCCCCTTGATGGAGCAGTAGTTATAAGAAACATATATACCTGTTCATACATGCAACCTCTTATTTTGTAAAACTTGAATTGAAACAAATGTTTTAATGTCAAAATGTCTAGGGTTCTTTGCAGAAGAGTAGTGACACAGATGCTATGATGAATACACAGGGTATGCAGAGGGGTGAAAGGGTAGGGATGCAGGGGGAGAGGAACAGGAAAAGCTTCATGAAAAGCTAAATCTTGAAAGATGTGTGGGTGTTTGCTAGACAGTGGAGCAGGGATGGCGACATTCTAGGTTGAGGGAGCAGCAGGGACAAATGAGCAGAGGCATGAAACCATCCCGTGTTTGTTGAAAGGCAAGCAAACACTTGTTTCTCATTCTTGTGCTTGCAGGTATCACGACGGTGCTGACAATGTCCACCATCATCACGGGCGTGAACGCCTCCATGCCACGTGTCTCCTACATCAAGGCCGTGGACATCTACCTCTGGGTCAGCTTTGTGTTCGTGTTCCTCTCGGTGCTGGAGTACGCGGCCGTCAACTACCTGACCACCGTGCAGGAGAGGAAGGAACAGAAGCTGCGGGAGAAGGTGACTTTGCTATGCGCTTATAGTGTCTGGTCAGGATGGAGCCTGATCTAGTTCTGGAACCTCAGGCAGGGCAGACCTCCCCTGTAAAGCAGGGTCATGAAACCCTCTCCTGTGCCTACTTCACAGGGTTGTTGTGAAGAGCAAACAAATTGGTGTATTTCAAGTCATTGTGAAATTTACTTTGGGTGACATCTTTCATTCATTGAAACATTTCTTTTCCACTTACCACATACTTGGACCACGTCTTAGTTAAGTGTTAGGGAACTTCTTGGTGTTGTTCATAGTTTAGTGAGGGAATCCCAGGAGAAAAATAAATGACAATTTAACATGGTGGAACAAATTATTTATGAACATAAAGGTGTAATAAAAGAATTGTCCAGGGAAGAACTTTCTCATTCTAGGAAATCTTTTTTCATATGTAACCTCATGCATCCTCCACCTTTCCCCAGGTTATCTTCCCTCCCACCTGACTCTCCTTTCCTCCTGCAGTGTGCAGCTCAGGGGTTATCTCCCCCAGCAAACTCTAACCATATTGCAGTAATCTATCCCCACAATGCCAATCCCCATCCCCATGGCAAATGCACATGTTCATGCACACACTTGTAATAATGTGATCTGTAAACATTTTCATCAAGGGCTCATAACAGCTTATGATCTCATGGAGAACAGGGTGATCTATGAATCATGAGCATTCTTCTTGGTCTTTGGTATGGCATTGTGATATTTCCTAAGAGTCAGTATGCAGATTTTAGATCAGCAAAAATGGATACCAGGCTGGGCTCAGTGACTCACGCCTGTAATCCCAGCACTTTGGGAGGCTGAGGTGGGTGGATCACCTGAGAGCAGGAGTTTGAGACCAGCCTGGCCAACATGATGAAACCCCGTCTCTACTAAAAGTACAAAAAATCCGCCTGGCATGGTGGTGTGTGTCTGTAATCCTAGCTACTTGGGAGGCGGAGGCAGGAGAATCGCTTGAACCCCGGAGGCAGAGGTTGCAGTGAGCTGAGACTGATTGTGCCATTGCACTCCAGCCTGGGCAATGAGAGCGAAACTCAAGTCTCAAAAAAAAAAAAAAAAAAAAAAAAAAAAGATACTTACCGTCTTCCCAAACTGGGAATACCAGAAACCAGAAAAAGGTAACACCCTCCACTATGCAGTTCCTTTTGAAGGGCTTCTGAGAGGTGATGCTGAGCTCACACCCCAGTGTGTTTGCTATGTTTGCAGCTTCCCTGCACCAGTGGATTACCTCCGCCCCGCACTGTGATGCTGGATGGCAACTACAGTGACGGGGAGGTGAACGACCTGGACAACTACATGCCAGAGAATGGAGAGAAGCCTGACAGGATGATGGTGCAGCTGACCCTGGCCTCAGAGAGGAGCTCCCCACAGAGGAAAAGTCAGAGAAGTAGCTACGTGAGCATGAGAATCGACACCCACGCCATTGATAAATACTCCAGGATCATCTTTCCAGCGGCATACATTTTATTCAATTTAATATACTGGTCTATTTTCTCCTAGATGTTTGTAATTCTATAAATTTCACATTTCCATGGCATGCACTACAGAAATAACTGTATAATGAAAAAGAATTTAAGGGTATGGTTAAAAAAAAGTCCCAGGACCCACCCATGTTTTCACTATCCCTTCTGCAGTTTTGCAAAGCTACATTGACAAGACACTGGTTTAATTTGTACTTATTAACCATCTATTGAATATACAGCATTATATTAGGTGCTGCAGGATTATGACTCTGTAGCGATTGATGTTAGTTGTCACCCAGATCCCCTGGAAAAGCACACTACCAGTGTTGTGGGCACATTTAGTTCCACCCATTAGACCCTTGATGCTATTCACATGAATAATTTATTTTCCTCGAGTGTCATTACATTCTTCAGGCTAGGTGGACTTGGAAGCACCTAAAGGCCATTTGCATGAAATTCACATGCACCTAAATCCTCACTTTGACAGAAACTCATGCTTCAGTTTATAACCTATTACCTATTTTGTATGCGACTCTGCCTCTGCATGTTTATTTTAATAAAAGGCAATGATAATATTCACATTATTTTTCTTTATATGCTGTGGTTCACAAGTTTTACTCCTTCACAAGAAAAACTCTTTAGATTGGTGCAATTGCTTCTGATTTTGGTAAAAGTTTCCCTGGTAGGGAAACTTTGAAGATAAGAGTACACACATGCATTTTGTCTGTTGTGTCATAGAGGTAACTAGGCTAGAAAATTTGTGTTTAAATGGTCCCTTTTTATATAATCACCACTTCGTGTATCTTCTTCTTGGAGCATGTCCTTGTTCAAAGAGAAGTCCTTTCTCAGTGATATGATGTCTTCACTGAGGAACTTGGGTAGAGAATGATTTCTTCTGCATAAACATTTCAAGGAAATACATTATTTGGGACTACTTGTAACTCATTAGAATGAGAAATACTCACACGGTTTCTTAAGAGAAAAAGAAAATCAGAAAGCAAAATAAATGGGAAGACGTCACTGGACATCTGCATTTATACTCGAAATGCCAGCATTTTCTATGAACCAGAAAACTGCCATCACCTAGACCACACAGCCCAGATACCAGGCAAAAGGATGGCCCAATGGCAACTGATGTTAGGGCATGGGGTAAAGGAGAGGGTTCTAATTTGATGTATCATTGAAAAACAGTTATTGGCCGGGCGCGGTGGCTCAAGCCTGTAATCCCAGCACTTTGGGAGGCCGAGGCGGGCGGATCACAAGGTCAGGAGATCGAGACCACAGTGAAACCCCGTCTCTACTAAAAATACAAAAAAATTAGCCGGGCGCGGTGGCGGGCGCCTGTAGTCCCAGCTACTCAGGAGGCTGAGGCAGGAGAATGGCGGGAACCCGGGAGGCGGAGCTTGCAGTGAGCCGAGATCGCGCCACTGCACTCCAGCCTGGGCAACAGCGTGAGACTCCGTCTCAAAAAAAAAAAAAAAAAAAAAAAAAAAAAGAAAAACTGTTATTTATATTATATATCTACTATATAGATCAACCCCCACCAAACTTACCCAAACAGCATTTGTTTTATTTGAAACTCACTTTAATAAAGTGAATTATATACACAATAATGTCATTTTCATTTCAAAGTTAATTTGACTCATCACCAGTACTAAATATTATATTTCTACATATGCAGGACTGTATACTAATTTGAAAAAGCCTATTTGCCTAAACCCTAATTATAATGTAATCTCCCATTATCTCCAATGAAAACTCGCCAAAAGAAAGTTTTTTGGCAAACTTGAATAAACTTAAAGGGATTTAGATGAAATAGTTAAATTTTAACTGTTTAAATATTGTATTCTCATTTTACTTTTTTGAGACAGGGTCTCACTCTGTCACCCAGGCTGGAGAGCAGTGGTGCCATCTCAGCTCACTGCAACCTCTACCTCCCAGGCTCAAGTGGTTCTCCCACCTCAGCCTCCTGCATAGCTGGGCTACAGGCGTGTTCCACCACACTCAGCTAATTTTTTAAAGTTTTTGTAGAGACAAGGTCTCATTATATCGCTCAGGCTGGTCTCAAACTCCTGAGCTCAATCAGTCCTCCCACCTCAGCTTCCCAAAGTGCTGGGATTATAGGCGTGAGCCATCGCACCTACCCCTAAATGTTAACTTTTGATATTTAAAAATATTATTTTAAAAACACTGCTTTTTCCCATGATTATTTTATAGAACAATTGCAATCAAACTCTTTACAGACATCTTTGCTGCTGTCTTCTTCCTCATGATCACTAGGGCCACTGTGAGTCAGCTGGAATGTATCGAGGGCACACCATCTGAACTTCCGTCTGTTTGTACGGGATACTCCACCATTTGAAGCAGCCTATGGGATACTCTATCAGTGTGCTAAAGTTGCCATAGCGAAGTACCACAGACTGGGTGGCTTAAACAACAGAAATTTATTTTCTCATAGTTTTGGAGGCTGAAGTCCAAGACCAAGGTGTCGGCAGGCTTGGTTTCCCTGGAAGCCTCTCTCCCTGGCTTGTAGATGACTGTTCTCTCACTGTGTCTTCACATGGTCTTTCCTCTGTATATGTGTGTGTCCTAATTTCTTCTTCTTATAAAGACAGTGGTCATATTGGAATAGAGCCCATGCTAATGACTTGATTTAACCTTTGTAAAGGTTAAACCTTTGTAATTAAACCTTTGTAAAGGCCTATCTTCAAATACAGCTATGTTGGGAGTTAGGGCTTCAATATATGAATTTGGGGGCCACAGGGAGACCCAGTTCATTCAATAACAGATGCCAGTGGAAACTGTCAATTTGCTTAATAGTATAATGCATCTTTTAGATGTTTATTCTTGATGATTTTTATGACATAATCACATGCAGCATTGTTTTTTAAAGTGAGATTTAAAAGACTTATTTACACTGATAGTCACACCAGTGATTGTGAGGAATCAGTGATTAAATTCATGTTAAATGTCTTTGCTATCTTTTCTGGCAATTCCCAGTGACCACTTTGAGTATCTAAAACTAGCATTAATTTAGTAATTTCCATGCTAATGTGTTTTTTTAAGGCATTACTTTTTCTGTCAAAGTTATGTAATTGACAGAGAGCTCTGTAGTATGACTTAGTAAGGACCCAAATATAAAGCAACTCCCTCTTTTTTGAAGGATAAGTTTGGAGAAAACCATATAATATATCTGAGCATCTATAGTACTTAATACATTTTACTGGCATGAACAGGAAGATTTGGTTAATAATATTGTCTGGTTAATGGGCAGATACCATGTGGCCATACTGAATATATTTTTTTAATTTTTAAAATTTTTTGAAGAGACAAAATCTCACTATATTGCCCAGTCTGGTCTCAAGTAAAATTCCTGACCTCAAGCAATCTTTCTCTGCCTCGGCCTCCCAAAGTGCTGGAATTACAGGCATGAGCCACTGTGCCTGGCTTGAATAATTAATTTTTGAAGAGTTAAAATATATTTGACTAAAACCATATCAAACCTAATGTATTCTCTGCCTGGTATTCAGAAGGCGCTGTAGGATTCTGAAGGATTTTTATCGCTGTGATGCAGTGTGGGCATCATCCAGATGTGCAGAGGGGTTAGGCAGTAGAGAACTGGAGTTTCACTCTTCTCTAGTTGCCTTCATAATTCATACTTTATAGGGAAGGGTGGTGATGCTAGATCTTAGAATAAAAAATGGCTTATATTTTAGTGACAATGAAACCTCACATTTGTAAATCCAGTTTTACAAAAAATACTTCCACATTCTGTTTCATTTGAACCTGAATGAGGAAATTCTAAAAGCCAATAGAGGCTGATGGAACAACATGCAGATAACATGGTTAATAAGTGAAAGACACTTTTTTTTTTTGAGACAGAGTGTTGCTCTGTCACCCAGGCTGGAGTGCAGTGGTGCAATCTCAGCTCACTGCAACCTCTGCCTCCCAGGTTCAAGCGATTCTCCTGCCTCAGCCTCCCGAGTAGCTGCGATTATAGGCGCCTGCCACCATGCTTGGCTAATTTTTTTTTTTTTTTGTATTTTTAGTAGACATGGGGTTTCATCATGTTGGCCACACTGGTCTCGAACTCCTGACCTCACGTGATATGCCCGCCTCAGCCTCCCAAAGTGCTGGGATCACAGGCGTGAGTCATCGTGCCCAGCCTTAAGTGAAAGACTCTTGACTCAATGTTCATTCACCTTATTACAGATAATAAATACTGGACAACCAAACTGTCATACACAATACATAAACATTGCTATAAGGAAATATTTTAACTAATCATTGGTATATTTTAATTCATTCATTCATTTATTCATATATTCGTCAAGTAATACAGAGCACCTATTACATTGTAGGAAACATTTTAGACCAGAGCTTCTCAAACTATCTGTGGTGAAGGTTCAGCTTGTTTTATTTTTTAAAATGTCAGTCCATCAGCTATTTGTATGATGAGTTTTTTGAACATGGAGAGTCCCTGACATAACCCAGTCCTGTGCCTGCATTTCCTCCTTCAGAACCATGGAGCCCAGTACCGTGTGTGGCTAAAATAACAATCACAATAATCCATGTAGAGAAAGAACAATTTCATTTTGACGTTATCAAGAAAATTGCTACAACTGAATTTCAGGGCTTGCTATGTATGGGAAATTTCAGTACCTGCAGTAATAAGAAAGTACATTCTCCAATGCACACGTCAACAATGTTAAAAGTAAAACCATTTAGCTCACTTCAGTATTATCACAACTCTTAAAATAAGTGGATGTGTTTTCAATTCCATATTCTAAATTTAATTTCAATCTATTTCCTTTCAATTATTTCAAGTATTAGTATTTGTGTAGAAGGAAATATCCTTACTTTTCTTGAGACCAGAGTATTTTACGAAAGCCCTCTAGTTTACTTCAAAAACAATGAACAGATCCTTATTGGTGAGTTTAGTGGGTTTCTTCAAGTAGCATTTATAGCTCTGTACACACTCGGTGCCTATTGTGATGAAATGCAGGCATTTGTAGGCTACTTGGCTGGCAGGGAGGCCTTGGCCATGAGAACTGAACGAAGATAATGGAATCTCTTTGAGAATCAAAGCCATGGCTAAGTGAGGTTAACTTATATGAAGTGTTCAACCATACAACTATACCTTATATCTATAATGGGGAGTGGAAAATAGGGAAGTGTTCAGCTTTTTCATTTTTCTTGATTTGCAAGCTTCAATACTCTGTTTAAAACAGCATAATTTTAGCTGGGCACAGTGGCTCCCACCTGCAATCCCAGCACTTTGGGAGGCGGAGGTGGGAGGATCACTTGAGCCCAGGAGTTCAAGACCAGACTGGACAATACTGTGAGACCCTGTCTCTACAAAGAATAAAAAAATTAGCTTCAGCCGGGCATGGGGGCACATGCCTGTAGTCCCAGCTACTTTGGACACTGAGGCAGGAGGACTACTTGAGCCCAGGAGGTCAAGGCTGCATTGAGCCGTGATCACACCACTGCACTCCAGGCAGGGCGACAGAGCAAAACCCTGTCTCTAAAAAAATAAATAAAATATTGTGAAAGTAATTAAGGAAATTTTTTAAAATAGGAA